TATATAAACAATTTTGTTTAGTCGTGTGCAAATAAATTTTGGTGAAAGAAATTACTCATATAGTAAGTGAAATTGCCAAAACCACGGGCTTCAACATCACTTCATGCCTAAAATCCTAGCAACCATTGGTTGAAGTTCCAAGTATTTGGTATGTTTTATTTAGCTGTTGTGAAATTAATTGTCGATTTCTTCAAATTTATTTGTTAAAAATCGGTTCATTTTAATGTAATAATAAATAATAAATAATTAAAATTATAAGAAAATATAATAAATAATTTGAAAAAATTTTATAAAACAATAATTGTTATTACCCCTTGATTTCACGAACAAGATGTAATATAATGTACTTAAAACAACTTGTTAGCAATAATTATTATTAGATGAGATAAAAATAATTGTATTAACAACAAGTATATATATATATATATATATATATATATAATGGATTAAGAAAGACACGGACAGTCATCAAGTGGAGGCAAAAAAGGCGAAAAAGGAAAGGTGTTAAAAAGAAAACCCGTAGCCTTTCAGATTGTTTGTTTTATTGTCAACATGATCGCACTCTCTCTCTACTTAAGAATTAGTTACTCATATGGTAAAAAGTAAATGTCTTCCGTGAAACACACTATTAATTGATATATATATCTCTATTTTTTTTTTATAAATAAATTACAAAATTAGAAAATTAAACAAATATTTCAATTTATAGGAAATATATATATATATATATATATATGGGCAGTTGTAAAATAGTTTTTTTTTTTTATTTTAATTGATTTTTAGAGGTGAGGTGAGGTGAAAACACAAGTATCAAGTATAAGTACTAAAAATAGCTGCCTGCCATGCCATGCCATGTCTGTACTTTTGTTTGGAAATTTTGTAATGCTGGTTGAATATGATCATCCTCGTGTATAATGATGTTGCAATTTTGCCTTATACAATATATCTAACCCTTTTTTTTTTTTTTTTTTTTTTTTAAACCATATATATATGTATATAAATAAATCTATCCCTACTTCAAAATTAATTAACATATTTATCTATCCTGTTGAAAATAAATCATATAAGGTTAGATAGTTTCAGGGGTTTGCCTCCGGAACTTATATGCGAAGAGAAGAAGGCAGATTCTAATAATTTTCTTTCCTTTTCTCAGCATCCAAACAAAAACGTAGAGTCAAGAAAAAATCCAAAGAAAAATTCTCCATTAAATAAAAGACACAGGCAAAGAGATTTGCGGCAAATGGGATAAAGATGGCTTCATCTTCTTCATATGAAAATTTATTTCTTCTTTTCAAAAAAAAAAAACCTGATGCATTGGTATCAGAAAACAGTGATAATTTTGGTGATTATGGAATCTCCTTTCTCATGTGGTCCGCATCTAGCGTGCACCGACGGGTACCCAGCTTCCATCACAGCCACACAAAAAAAGGCACGTAATAACTGAATTAATAAAAAAAAAAAAAAAAAAAAAAAAAAAGGATGTGACCGTTGGTGGGAATTTCAAAGCGTGGTAATTGGTAAGGTGTCTTTTTCTCTCTCGCTTTATCCAGTTGCTTCTTAACCGTTGCAAAAGCCAAAGGGGAGAAGGCTCTGGAACAATCTTCTAGCCGTTTTAGGATACCCAACACGTGGCACCATCTGGTGCTGGTGATCAGTCTCCTGCACATTACTCACTGGTCATATCATGAATAGTGTATATTATTTGTTATTATTATTGATAAAATAAGATAATGATTACTACAGTTTTTTAAAATTGTGGATTTTGAGATTGGTTTATAATTATTAAATTAAATAAATGTTTTAAAAGTAAAAATTATTTGAAAGTATTGTTGTTTTTAATAGTGTAATTGAAATTTTTAGTATTATGCATAAAAACATAGGTTTTATATTGAATTTTGATATAAAATTATGTATAAATAAAATTAAGGTTAAATTAGTAAGTAAATTAATTTAAGAAAAAAATAAATTTATTTGAAGAGAAATTTTTGAAAAATTGCATTAAATAGAGAAATCGGAGGCCACATGTGAACAGTGGGTGACCTGGACTGATTTGAGTGGGTGGGACCCTGACGTGGACAGGTTTTAGATAAAGATGAAGACATTAGTGGGACCCCTCCCACCCCGGGAATGTGCCTCGGCATCTTTGCCAGCTGTGTGCCACGTGATCCTCCTTACCGCCATTTCTCCATTTGATAATCAAAAGCCCCCACAAAAATTTCTTTATTTTCACTATTTGAAAAAAAAAATAATAATGAAGGAACATCGTACTCCATGGGTGTGTTGTGCACCGGATCAAGTCCATGTATGCTAGGGTTATAAATAGAGTGCCGTTGCGGATAAGGACAAGGCGATGAGAAAAAGACATGTTTGACGACGATTCCTTGTCCAACGAACCAAAAAATAATTAACAAGAATGTTTGGGGGATTAATACCATTTTCCACTCATTTAGTTTTTTAAACTTTAAATTACGAAACAATTGGAAGCAAAAACGACGCCGCATTTCTTTTAATTTTGGATTCATTTTTAAAGATTCTGGGTTTTCAATGAGAGAATGAGTGGGCAACAATTGGGTGGGTTCTTCATTTTGTTTCAATGCCAAAACACCCCCCCACAAAAAAAAAAAAAAAGAAAAAGGAAAAACAAATTCAGGCTTTAAAATTGCATGATTACCAAACAGACATTAAGAAAAGTGTGTGGCGAATAAGGGAAGGGTCCCAAAGGGTGCCCTTAAATGAAGACAGGTTGCCGTGGGGAACTAAAATTTAAAATACATACATAAAAAAATTCACAAGGAATTTCCATTCAAGGAAATTTATAATAAAATTTAAATATAGAGAAGAAAAAAGAAGAAAAAAGAGAGACAATATGTAACCGTTGCAGGCTTGGTTTTGGTTGGGTGCCAGGCTGACGATTTAGGCCTACCCAGAGGAGAGATGATTAGGTCTCACATGGTCTCGCTGTACCCTTCGTTAGGGCCCCACCTTCCACTTTCTCTCTCTAAACTACCTCACCAACAAAAACTTTTTCTTATTCCCGAAATGCCCTTGGCTTATCCATATAATCCCATCATTTGCCTGCCCTCCCTCTCCCTCTTAAAAAGACGCTCAGTGTGTGACCTTGTTTCTTAAACACGCACAGAAACACTGCCTACCTCCTCATAATCATCCTCCCTCCACCAACAGAAACTTTGCACAGAGAGAGAGAGAGAGAGAGAGAGATAGAAATTAAGGTCCGGGAAAGAGGAGATGTCGAAGGAAGTGAGTGAAGAAGGGCAGAGCCATGGAAAGGACTATGTGGACCCACCACCAGCTCCGCTCATTGACTTGGCTGAGATCAAGTTATGGTCCTTTTACAGAGCTCTCATAGCCGAGTTCATTGCCACTCTCCTCTTCCTCTACGTCACCATAGCCACCGTCATCGGCCACAAAAAGCAAGCCGGACCCTGCGATGGTGTTGGGATTCTGGGTATTGCATGGGCTTTCGGTGGCATGATCTTCATTCTTGTCTACTGCACTGCCGGTATCTCAGGTAAAAAATAACTCCCTAGTAAAAAGCTTCGAAAATTAGAGAAACCCAGTTGATTTTTTAAGGAATTATCCTCATGGGTGTTAAATCTTGTGTGTTCTTGTTCCAGGTGGTCACATAAACCCTGCTGTTACTTTCGGACTGTTCTTGGCTCGTAAGGTGTCTCTGATCAGGGCTGTGGCCTACATGGTGGCTCAGTGCTTGGGCGCCATCTGCGGTGTTGGTTTGGTTAAGGCTTTCATGAAAAACTACTACAACCGTCTCGGTGGTGGCGCCAACACTGTGGCTACCGGCTACAACACCGGCACCGCTTTGGGTGCTGAGATAATTGGCACCTTCGTCCTTGTCTACACCGTCTTCTCCGCCACTGACCCTAAGAGAAGTGCGCGTGACTCCCACGTCCCTGTATGTTCTTCCTTCCTTTTCCTCTCTTCCGTTTGTTAAATCTGTCCGTATGCGACGCCGTATGGTGTCGTGTAGTGTCAAAAGACGAACCATGTTAGCTTTTAGGGCATGGGTGTGGTTGTCTGTTTGTCGCTTAGAGAGTGTTTGAACCTTTCAGGTTTTGGCGCCACTCCCCATTGGGTTCGCTGTGTTCATGGTGCACTTGGCAACCATCCCTATAACAGGTACTGGTATTAACCCAGCTAGGAGCTTCGGCGCTGCAGTTATCTGGAACAACAAGAAAGGCTGGGATGACCATGTAAGTGTACCATATATCTAAACACGTATGTATATATGAGTTTGATGAAAAATTCTAGGGTAGTGATTGATATATTAACTAGTAAGATTTGGACGAAAATGGTGCAGTGGATTTTCTGGGTCGGACCATTTGTGGGAGCACTTGCAGCAGCCGCATACCACCAGTACATACTGAGAGCAGCAGCCATTAAAGCTTTGGGATCTTTCCGCAGCAACCCCACCAACTAAAGTCTCTCTTCTTCAATCTATTTGTTCTTTTGTGTGTATGAGTTGATGATGACCCATCTTCTTCCTTTCATCTTTCTTTCTTTATTTATGATTTAATCTTTTGTTGATTAGTTTGGCCTTTTTCTGTATCATTGTTCTTCAGTAGTAAAATGGTGCCTTCTTTTTTATTTTATTAAAGAAGAATCTTAATTGATTAGTAGCCAAAATCTTTTGTGCAGCTCAGTGGGTGGTGTAATATCATGTTTTCCCATCATTATCACTTCTACCATATTTGTATTTTAATAAAATTATATAATCTGGGTGGCTAAATGACAAAAATGCTCAATTATTAATGGTGTTTACTGCGTGTTGAATGGTGTTCGGACATGTAAGGTCCAAAGGCGAACGGGACACCGTTAGGTCATGCTACGTGTCAAATTGTCACAGGGGGATCACATGGGCCAAAAACCCTACGCATTTCTTCTTTACTTACTGTTTTTCCGTGGACTTTTCTTGGCCAGAGTTTTGGAATAAATAAAAAACCTTTATTTCCTTCAAAATGAATGACCCAAGGGAAAAATGGATGAGAAATAATCTCTCTCTTCTTTTCAATCACAGAGAACTCCCATCTCCCACAACCTTTTTTTGTTTCTTTTTTCCCCAAACAAATTAGAAAGCCACGCTTAAAAACTAGTTGAGTCTGTAAAATATGCCCTCTTGTTAGATAGATTTCTCAAAAGTTTCCACACTGTTGTTTTCCTTTCCGAGAAAATGAAAAACATCACACATCGACTGCAACACCCTCCTTTTTGACCAAATGACAGCTATAATATAACCCCAAACTTGATAATAAGTAGGATCCAGACAACTGTATATAGCCAGCCACCTTTAATAAGAGTTTCTTCGGCTTGCTAACATGATGGCATTTTCTCCAGGCGAGAAGAACTCTGCTATGCTATGATGGTCCCCAAGGAGAGAGAGAGATGCTCACAGCATATACCAAAGCTCCATGCGTTGAGGATTTCTATAAAATATACACTGCACAACCAAACAAAAATCATTGTTAAGAACGACCTTGATGCTTGCTTCATCAGTAATGATTGCAATTCCCATTCTCACTTTAATGGATGACCATCAATCACCCGGCACAATGTGCTTCTTATTTTATTTTTATGTACATCAAGATACTGAGGCAGGAGCAGAAGACAAAGCTTAAATAAATATTTACATACTAGTATCTTCTTGCAAGTACTATACTCTGGGTTAATGAAGTTGCAGGGTCATCACCTCAACTTTTTCTCTCAAGTTCCAAAAGTTTTAGTGTAAGCAGTTCGACATTTTTCAATCTGAGAGATGATTAAATGAACTACAGCCAAATCAAATGTCGAATGATCCGAATTGGTAGCTACGAATAGAATAGGAAAATTCAAATGACAGTTTGGAGTTCAGATCTTATTGTAGCATAATGAGTTCCAATGTTGACAATTTGAGACTTGGGTAATGCGTTGCAAAATAAAATATCTTCAATTACATTGGAAATGCAATGACCAAAATGTAGAGGAAAAAAATGCATTTTGTAATCTTACACTAATCAGGCAATGCAGTTCCTCGCTCAAGATTGTTTTTGATCTCCAGCGTGTATCTACCAAAAGCTCGTTCAATCTTCTTGTTGAAATGCTCATTGCGGTCATTAATTGAGTCAATGTCCTTCTCTTCATGGAACTTTCTTCTCCTGCTAAATGATTTACGCTTCTCATCTCGGTCTTTGAGCTCTTTCACCATCTTGTCAATCTTATCCTCCGAAATTTTTGGTGCCTGCATAATGAAAGCACACCCATGGTGTGGGTAATCCTTTAAGCCAGATTCATCAGGAAGCACATTAGTCTCATAACAAAACTATACCTTTCCATACTGGAGGCTCGACGCTTCCCTGTAGAACTCAGGATCAGCCTCTTTCATTTTGTTATACTCTTCTACATCAACCTCAATATTCTTTGTACGCTTCTTATATGCATTGTAAAGTGTCTTCTGATTAAAGACTGGTCATATTTAAACCAAAGAAAATAATTTAGGTTCAACTCCATGTTCAAATCTCTCAGAGCAAAAAGGTGAAGAAGATGAAAATTTTTGAACCACGTAAATAAATAAAACAGGACATATCATACTTTATATTCAGAAAGTAATGCAACATTCTTTTTAAATGAAAAATTAGTAGTGAGTACTCCTAGCATAACAGTCAATTCTTTGGAATGACTTCTTGTATCAGCACCATAGTAGTCATGAATGTGCAAGCTCAATTTAATGCAGACAAGTAGCAGCTTGGACATAAAGTGATAAGATGTGTGGCAGATTAAGGATAGGGAAGTTAGCAACAACATTTCACTAGAAACCCATATATTGTAAGTAGATACATATTTATACTTCTTATGCTACAGTTTCAAGAAAATACAGACAATTTTATGATTCACTAAGAGAGACGGACATGTTTTCTCAAAAATCGTGTGGTTTTCAAGAAGCTCTAAATAAACACATTTTGTAGGCATCCAAGAGAACAACAACAGAATTGACGTGTGTTATCCAGGAAATAATTAGCACTTGATAAGTATAATACGATAAGCTTAAATTACTACTGAGATATTAAACACACCATCCCAGCCAAATGGAGCAGGATCCTTTTCCCACTTTTTATATTTCTCCTCTGCTGCCTCCTGTGTATCTAGCATGTATGCTTTTGACATATCCAAACCATTGGCATCTAGAAGTTTGCCTATTTTTTTCTTCCTCTCCTCCAGCCATTTCTGTTTGGAAATGCCTCTAGACTCTGGTGGAGCTTCCATCCTTTTCTTTTCTGCTACCATTGCTGTTTGATTGGCTTTTCTTGCCTCATTCTGCATCCAATAATCAACAAACATAATTGGTTTGGGAGGAGGCAACAGAATTGATTACTAACATGATGGAATATCTTAATTTCGAAATCTAATCAGACTCCAGGAATGAATCCCATGACAAGAAGTCAACTAACACTTACCATCTTAAGTCTTAACTCAAACAATTTTTTCTGCCTCCCTGTAAGTTTTGTAATGTCTCCTTCAATGTTCTCCTCAACATGAGTTTTATTATCCCCATCTGAATCCTCTTCTGAATCTGGTCTTTCATCATGCAGATCTATGTGCTGTTTAACAGCATGTTCATCAGGCTGACTATTGCCACCACTACCTTGCAAAACTTCTGTCATGGGCATGTAGCATTTATCAGATATATCTGAGCACACTACACAGGATATGATAATATGAAAAGCTGTTTAGACAAACATGAGCTCTGTGGAGGAAGACAAGTTCTAAACAAGGTCATATTCATATTATTGGGGCTTCCTCCCTTCTATCAAATAACATAAAATCAAAACAGGAATATAATTTTAATAACA